AAAAAAAAAAAAAAAAAAAAAAAAAAAAAAAAAAAAAAAAAAAAAAAAAAAAAAAAAAAAAAAAAAAAAAAAAAAAAAAAAAAAAAAAAGAGAAAGAAAAGAAAGAAAAAAAGTTCAATGCGGAGGGCAAGAAATCGATGACATCAGGGGAAATCAAATCTTTGGGTCGCAATGACGTCGCAGATTCACTCATGGCTTCCATTTAAAGCTTTGCTGCATTTTACTAGATTTTCTAAAGTCTTTCCGCGGATTCCTTCCCCCGTTCTCCTCCGATAGATTTCAATTCTCTGGAACAAACTGGGGAAAAAAAGGAGTAGTCCTTTCAAGATCAATTCATTTGTCAATTGAGAAAAGGAAAAAACTCCCTCCGTCATCCTTGTTCATCACTGCCCAACGTGACCTCCGAATCGGGTTAGTTTCCTGGCGATAGTCTTCGACGTCACCAAAGGTTGCAGTTCAATATCTTTAATCCACTTCTTACTTGGATCTAAGGGGGAGATAGACCTGAAAAGAGAGGTTCAACCAGAAAGAAATCGTCCAAGTATCTTCCACCGTTCCTTGGGTCAACTCACCCTGTTTTGGTCACTGCGTTGCAGTTCCTTCCCCCTCGTGCTTTATCGCCCTTCCGTCGCATCCCGTTGCGCCCACGTCACTCGTGCGCAAAAGCAACCCTTCAAAGAAACCCCTTCGTCCATTTTCAGTCGAACTCCCGTGAACTCTTTTACTTTTCCTTCTTCTTTTACCCTTTCCCATTCACTTGTATCACCGTTCGCCTGCGTCTAGCTTCCTATACAGACCGTGGCCATGCATCGCACCTATTCTATGCGCCAATCGCGCATGCCGACCGCATCGCAGATTGAGAACCCGCCTCCACCGCTGTCCACAACCAAGACGAATAGATGGATTGGGAAGGGTGGCTTTGGTGAGTAATTCTGGGCTCCTTCGGTTGTCTCGTGGGAGATACAACAATCTCCTGGACCGGTTACTGAAGCTGTTTGGAAAATGATGCTAACGATATTCTTTTTCACAGGTCATGCCTTCCGTAAGAATGCTGCCGGGGCATTTGGTCCTGACCTTGCAAGGAAACTCTCCCAACTCGTGAAGATGGAAAAGAATGTCATGCGCAGCATGGAGATGGTCGCCAAGGAGCGTATGGAGACTGCTGTATGTGGGAGAGATTGGGGCATAATATCTGGCACATCATGGCTAACATTTTCACACAGCAACAACTTTCCATCTGGGGCGAAAACTGTGACGAAGACGTGTCCGACATTACGGACAAGATCGGTGTATTGCTCTACGAGATCGGAGAGTTGGAAGACCTCTACGTCGATCGTTATGACCAGTACCGTGTCACCATCAAGAGCATCCGTAACATCGAGGCTTCCGTTCAGCCCAGCCGAGACCGTAAGTCGACCTCCGTGATCCAGGGATCCTAGCTAGGTTGATTCTTACGCCGCACTGTACAGGCAAGCAGAAGATCACTGATGAAATCGCCAAGCTCAAGTACAAGGACCCAAACTCTCCTCGGATCGTTGTTCTCGAGCAAGAGCTGGTTCGCGCAGAGGCCGAGTCTCTTGTGGCTGAAGCTCAGCTTTCCAATATCACCCGCGAGAAGCTCAAGGCAGCCTTCCAGTACCAGTTCGATGCGCTCCGTGAACACTGTGAGAAGGTGGCCATCATCGCCGGCTACGGCAAGCATCTCCTGGATCTGGTCGACGATACTCCTGTTACTCCCGGTGAAACTCGCGCCTCATACGATGGATACGATGCTAGCAAGGCTATCATCCAGGATTGCGAAGAGGCCCTCGCTAATTGGGTTACCTCCAAGGCTGCCGTCAAGTCCGATGTGTCGCAGCGCACCCGCACCCTTTCTCAACGGCGCCGCGAGGCGATCGGCAAGAACCGCGATGGGGTCGACCTTTCTACCCAGGACCAGCCCATGCGGGGCGATCGGGACTCGTGGGTCCCTGCCGACCAGCACCCAACCTATGTTGAAGATGGCGAGGAAGTCGCTAGCACCTTGGATGGGGAGGCTCGGGGTCGAGAAGAAGACCGCGAGCCCGTCTCCGTCTCCGTCTAAGTGAGACTGATATGGCCACGAACATCGACATTGGTATATGATAGTGTTGATGGCAGTGTTGATGGCTGTTTGCCGAGTCCTCGTCTTTCATCCTTGTGATACTCCGGATTGAAGTCCCGCTTGATGTGATGGTCTCGTTTTGCCGTGATTTCATATCTCTTCATGTTACCACCCTCGTGCGCTACCCACTACTCTTAATGCTAGGCCTCCCCTCAATGATATCTTGCCGGCCAAAATACTGTATCCTGATGTCCATTCTAGCCGTTGTATTTCTAAGAGTCCCCCTGATGATGTCATGACCTTGTTATTTTTCATGGATGAAAAAAATGAGTTATTATACTAACCAAAACGCAAAGACGGAAAATGAACACCAGAAGGAGGGGGCAGGCTTTGGAATGACCAGAGAATCTGTGATATCAAATGGGCAAGATTGTTGGAGAGGGGAGGGTTATTTGTCTAATTGAATAATGTAATACCATACTATCTACCTGAGTATATTTTTTAGTGATTTTGGCTTTGGTCGTTTGATCTGTTTGGGATAGCAATACTAGTAATTAATTAGTTTCTGTACAAGCTTTTATAGTGGCGTCTCTAAAGTACAACTTACCTTGCCGATATCTACACTAATTACTGCAATTGGTACAGTATAGGCTACTAGTACTACCTTACTAGGACTTTAGTTAAACCTCAATTCTGCCGCAAATATACCTAGGACTAGCTAGTAGTACTGGTGGATGACGAACGGCTTTCTCTGGATCTGTCTCCATGAGAATGCTATGGGGTGAGAGCACCAGCTCTATCAAACAGATATGTAATCCAGTATTAAACTCAAAAGTTGACACCAGCCTGATGATCAAGTTCTCTCTGGTACAAGTTCGGGTAGTATCGGACATTAGATCACCGTCGGAAATCCTGAGCCATCGAGGAACTATACTCCGTTTGTGTACGATCAACAGGTGATGTTACACTACCATTCTTCAAGTCCTGGTCTCCAGTTTTATCTCAAGACTAACTAATCAAATTACTTAGTCACTTCCTAAGTTCCCCGACCAATCATATCCAGCTGTACAGTATCACTTCCGAGATACTCGACTCTTGATTATTATCTATACTCCGTAAAAAGTTTATTAAAGAAGATTACGATAATGCGAAAAATATTCCAAGTCGTTTCTTGGAGGGCGAAAAATTTACATACACCCTCCAACGTGATTAGAGAGCAACCCCAAAGTAGCCGTAGAAACACTATCTAATACATAAGCAGTCTCCCAAACCAAGCACCCAGTACCCTGTAAACCAAAAAGAAAAGTAATACAAACATGCTCAAATTGCCGATCAAGCTCACCTGTCATTCCCTCATCATACAGGAGGAGTAACTAAGGCGATAATGATGACAATTAAAACAAGATTGATAGAGCTGCGGCCTGAACGTTATGCTATACAACGCATAGAAAGACCCATCCCATGCCATTCCTGCGATTATCATGCTTCCGAGATATCGAAGAATATATAGAAGTTGGCCATGATGCTTTCGTTTCACCCAGGCTGGAGGATGGGGTTTAGAGATAACCTGAAGTGTAGGCGCTTTCGTGGAGTATATGGTGGGATAGTTAGCAAGGGCATTGAGTCAACGCGGTGACTCTTGGATTATACATAAGGGAGTGTAATAGTTCCTTGACTGTATTCATTGTTCAGTGGTCGTAACATGACCCAATCATACTGAGCAGTACTTACCTACTACAGTACTAAAGTAGCCACCCGGACACTAGAACAGAACAGAAGGGGGCAGGGTAGCAGCAGACCCGGAAGTCAAGTGACGACCCGAGCTAAGACATGCTCACAAAAAATATCGGAGACACAAGATTAAGTTACCTCAAATGTCATTACCTTGAATTATTCTCTATGTCATTCATTCTAATGCCCTATATACCTCTTATACCTCTTACCTGTACTTCGCACCCAGGGAGGGTTATGGATGAACATCGAATGAAATGAAAAACTGAAAGCCACCAGTTGATGCTCAGTTCTAGGACCTACCACAGGTTCAAGCCGAGCTAACAGCGGTCTTGGGAGATTCATACGCTAAAAGCTAAAAGTAAGACATGGGTTTGCCAAATTCAACACCGACAGTAACTGAATCCCATCCTTTTACGCCAACTGCGGGTGAGCATTTATGAGGACAGAGGCGGTCCTTGCCCTAACCTGTCAAGACACAAGAGAATCGTAAGCCACCCCAACTTGCCCGCAAGATTCACCGAAAGTAACCAATGAAAAGAAAATGAAAGAAAGAAAGAGCGCAGAGATGGAAAATAAAAGAAATCAAAGGAGAACCACGCAAAAAAACCCAAACAACCTAGATCACGACATCAAGTCTCAGGTCTCCCACTCGCACTCGCACCCAACGAACAGAAACAGTAAGGAAAAAGGTCATTAAATCGTCAAGTGCCTCCATCGTAGGACGGACGACCAGCCTAAATATAGATGAAGGATATAAAGCCAGATGCGAAGAGGGGAGCTGAAAACAATTGCCTATCAATATAGTCCAAAGCATGAGCATGGAGTCATGTCAGAGGGGAGGAGGGAAAGTCAAAATAAGAAAAACGAAGAAGCAAGATAATAGAGAGACAGGACATCTTTTGCTTTAGTCTCTAGTTATCAGTACCCACTCCCTTCTTTTTTGGCTGGATATGTTTTTGCCCGTGTCCACCGCCATTGCCTTTTTGGTTCATGGCTGCGCTGTCTTCTGGAGGATGTGGCCCGCGAGTACTCGTGGCTTCGTGTTTCTCCGTCAAGAGATTCTTCAACCATCGGTTTTCCATCTCTAGTTGGGCCACGCGGGCCTCGAGAGAGGCGTTCTTTTCGGTGGTCTCTCGCACTGTCCGTTCTAGCGTCTGTTCGCGCTGTTTCTTCTTCATGCGGAACCGGGCGCTAGCCGCGGTATTCCGCCGCCGCCTGTCTTCTTCAGCGGCACGGCGAACATGTTCTTCTTGCGAGAGGGCGGAAGCGAGGTGATCACCGGGGATTTGTGTGCTGTACTTGGTATTGCCGAGTTGACCATTCGGGGGTGATATAGACGATGAGACATCTGAGGGGGTTAGAGCCCCCGGGGCATGACCCAGATCATCAGGTCCATAAGAGATAGGAGGATAAATTGGATGAGCTGAATACGAGATCATTTGGTCGGGGAGCGAATAGTTGAGGGGTTTATCGGCTGTTGGTGAGTAGATAGATGTAAGTAACGGAACGATTGGAACATGAAAGAGCAACGCCGCAAACCGAAGGTGATAAGACGAAAGGAAGAGGCAATCGTTATCACACCAGGGAAGCTCAAAAGGGACATGAGACCCTTGGTGGGGAGAGCTTTAGATGAATAGGAGATGCGTGGCCAAGGGTCTGGCAACAACAACGACCAGGTTACCGACGTTGTCATTAATGTGGTGGATTGCGTGCTCATCTCCGTGATTAACCAGGCATGCGGATGCATATGAGCGAACAACCAAGGGGGGTATAAGGGGGAAAGAAAATAATTAAACAAAAATATTTTTTTAAAAA